CCATGACAGCCCCCAGCCGATATCCATAATTGGGGCCAACCCACTAAATGCATTTAAGTCTGGGGCCTTGGATGTGAGGCAGAAGACCAGACCAGAATAGACAAGAGTCCTCCCAGTTTAATATGTTGATCATTTGATGCTCCCGGAACAACAAGAGCTGCCACAAAGACAGAGTGCTGGGAAGCATTAGGCTGACAGACTGGAAGTAGGGCAGAAGCAGGGGGTGACTGTCAGGTCTGAACAGTTATGCAAATAGCTGTAGTACCAAAGAGGAGAGTGTGAAGGGAACGAATATGACGGCGGTGTGTGTGGAACTTTAAAATCAGCTACCAGCAGTGAGTTTCCTGTTTTCACTGGACCTGCAGAGTTATGGTTTTCTCCTCTTCAGGAAAAAATTCTCTTGGCTCAGACTGCTGTGGGTTTTTTTCCTTTATATTTATCTAAGAAAAAACTTTATTGCTACTGATTTCCTCTTCAAAAAATCAAAAGTTAAGTGTACTCAATGTGATGGCAAGCAAACATAGAAAACTTTGCGGTTGAAAAGATGGGTTAGGCAAAACCCATTTGCAGTAGTTTTCAATATGGAATGAGAAGGAAGGAATGCATCAAACAATTAACAGGATATGAGTTGCTCTGATGCAATCGAAAAGAATGTAATAACACTGCGTTGTTGTTAAACACGAGCTTTTCTGGGCTATTCATCCACCAACTTACTTATTACAGTACGCATTGTGATATGGAAATAATTCACCTGTTATATAATTCATCAGCTTTTAGTGGTCTCTTGGGTTTACTGAGAGCTTTGTGAAGTATCGCTGTTGTGTCTTGTTTCCAGTGGCAACAGGTGGTTTTGTACAATTTAGAGACAAACATCCTATTGTGAAAACAGAGAAGTGTATCACAAGCGCAACAGTTTGGATGGACAGTATAGATATTTCATGAAACCAACCAAATCTAAAATGTACATAAAAAGGCAATATTTCTTCAAGTAAACTATCTGAATATCTCCACACTAATACAGTATGAAAATAATATTCAGGATGGGAGTATTTGCGTGTTTTATCTGAACTTTATCTTGTATTATACTCTGTTTTGTTCTTCCATTGTGCTCACGTGAAGGAACTACTTTCAGACTTTTGGGAATTCTGTGTGTAAATCAAGAAAAATGGGTCATATTTACTCCTCTCAAAGCAGCTGAAGCATTCTCGGTTGCGGTCTTTGGAGAGTTTCCGCTAATGTAGCATGAGGAGGGAAACTGAAACCGAGATCTGAGGCGGACGGCCGGTCCCCTGGCTCTCACTTCTGGTGTGACCTGTAATCCCATCAGAGATAGTGTGTCCACGGTGGGAAAATAAACAGAACTGAAGACTGATCCCACCACTTGGCTCCCATCTCAGTGTGGTGTTATTCCATTTGTACTTTTTTATAGATTCAGTCCCACTTTTGATCAGGGTGCCCAGTACCACCCTCCACCGTGGTTAGTGTTTTTATAAAATTGGACAGTGTGCTATATCTGAAACATGCGCTGCATACTGGTTATATGCTTGCTTCTTTACATTCATTTGATCAGTTCAGCAAGTTAAATGAAAGTAATCAAACTTGACTAGTTTATACTTCATTTCGCCCTTTTTAGCATTTATAATAACGTCAGAAATTATATTAGTAACTGCAACAAAATCCTCCAAAATGAATGACAAGTGAAACGCAGTTGTAATAACTCATGTATACCTTAGGAAATTAGCTAAATAATTATTTTTAAATCAGTTTAGAACAAAAATACAGAGTCTTATACTCAATTTATCAAACATTTATCTACTTATAAATCCTAAGTAATAGGATTTATGTGTTACTCATAAATGCAAAACTCACAGAAACATTTATTAAATGTTGAGATCTGATTATTAAGCCCACTTTAAGGAACATTAAAGGAGACATTAGTTCTTTTCACACTGTTGGATGATCTTTAATCAGCTGCATATCTAGTAGCCCTATAGAGTGATTTCCAGTTGTGCCAGGGTAACAATAATTTGGCATATTATTATTGTTGTCCTGTGTTCTACCTCCTGCATGTGTCAGAAGAGAAAACTTTGAGCACTGTTCCAATCTGACTCTCTTAACATGTTCCAGAGTTCTTGTTTAAACACAGCTCTAGACAGCGTGCTTTATCCATGCTCCCTCCTGCAAGCTCTGTCCATGCAGCTCTCTTGCTGAAACTAAATGGAGTGTTGCCAGTAATGAGATTGCATTCAAAGTAGACTGCATATGAAAAAGGGCAACTTCAAATAATGTCCTGACCTGGTCTGCTGACACTGTGTGAAAGTCACAGATTCGGTACTGAAGCAACATGGCATATACCATGGAAGACTGGAACTGAAATATTCACTAATAAACAAAGGCTTCAAAAAGCAGCAGCATTCATGGAGCCATCCTCGGGAATGTTAAACAAATGGAAAGAAATGGAAAGAAAATCTTGCCTTGAGCTAATGTCTTCCATGCTGTCTTATAGCCGAGTGTGTTTTCAGGTTTTTGTGGATTTTTTTGTGGGCTTGGGTGATCACGCTGTCCCACTTCATCCTGGGTTTCTTTACCTGCTGTATGTGTTTCACATGCAGCCTCCTTTGGAAATAGAAGAGCTATATATAGCAACCCTTTAATTTTATCATCTGGGCTCAGATCCCCTGACAGACTGATGCCTTCAAAGGGAAAAATCAAGCACACTGTGTGTTTATTTGTGGGTTTGTGGTCAATGTGGTGAGGAAGTGGCCTCGTCTGAAGAAACTAGGTTTAATACCGCTGGTATTCAGCAGTAATGTTAGATGGAGAGGTCAAAGAGGAGGTAGAGGAAAGGCATCTGAAAGCGTTTCAAATAGCTGAAATCAAGTGAACCGAGAGGGAGGCGGGAAAGGGAGCAGAGGCTTCTAAGACTGGAGAGAGTTTTGACTTGCCATTTTAACAGCTGACATTGTTTCACAAATCTAAAGAGCCAAAACACAGTTTCCTTGCTAGGAAGAAATCCATGCAAACCCAGCAGAAAGAGGTGTTTGACTGAAGATTAATGAAGGCCACAGAGACAGCCCCTTCTGCCTGGTTTCTCATGCTTTCTTTTAGACGCCTTTCTGTGCTCACTGTTAAAAGGTGGACAAAGAGCCTTGTCTGGAGCAACAGAGCGGAGAAGTAACTTCTGTCTTGCGTGTCTCAGAATTAGACAGAATGAAACACCTGCAGCGGAGAATATGCTGTTCTTGTGCATATTCTTTAAAAAGACTGATTTCATTTCTTGAACTGCAACTGCTGCAAAGACTTAGAGAGTCAAACAGGAACACAGACTTCAGACTTGGACAAGTGTGACTGTTGATCTTTTCCTGATGCCCCTGATACGCCTAGTCTTTGGGACACTGTTAGTTTGCTGGTATTACAATCATTATGGTCTGTGCAGTTTTTCATCCTAATTTGGATACTGTTGATCATCTTAGGAGAACACTGTGATAATAATAAACCCATGTGCAACACGTTACTGTAATCGGATTACTTTTTTCAAGTAACGAGTAAAGTAAGGGATTACTATTGCACACTGCGTTACTAAAAACGTGATTTTTTTGCGAGAATGTCTCATGACAATGACGTAAGCGAGTGCCACGTTCGTGACAACAGCTGTGTGCAGATCAACAATGGATAATATATAGAGTGCGGGAGAGAGTATGAGCGTGCAGCATTTAAAGCGTGGAAGTACTGACCTTACTTTGAGTTTGATTCCATAAAAAGTGACAAAAACATTAGTGTCCCTTGCGCGTGGGAAAAACCCCTAAACTTCCAAGCAAGCACCACGCTACCACGTAATGGGAAATTCATGGAGAAACTCGCGGATTCTTCAATTGACCGCTGCGGCTCACCTGCACCTGGGCAAACCTCCGCCTACCCACTCCTGCTTTACAGGTGAAAATAGAGCAACAGGACCGCTAGTCTTTGATTTTATTTATTTTCTGCCGTGTTTTACTTGCATCTATTTGAAAGACTGAGTGTAAACACAAAAAAATATTTTATTTTATGTGCTGGAATGTGCAGAAAATAGGTTTAAATGTTAAACTAATTTCTTACAGTCAGTGAATGTTGCATATAATTACATTTTTGCTTGATGCATAAAGTTAAAAGATTAAAACTAATAAAACAAGTTTTAAAAAGAGACTTTTCCATTTGATTACATTTTGTATGATGGATTATGTAGAAAAAGTAGAATTGGGCTGAAAGATCTATCACTTTATCACCTCTTCAGGTTGTAAATCGTGTTTTTAAAAAGTAACAAAGTAACTAACTAATTAATTACTTTTGAAAATAAGTAATCAGTAAAGTAACGGGATTACCTTTTTGGGGAAATAATCAGTAATTAGTTACTGATTACTTGATAACTTGACCAACACTGCCCATGTGATTGACCAGACTGCCTAAACCTGACGGTTGCTGCGGGTTATTGAGACTCCACCAGCTGAATGTTGGTCTAAATGAATCTCTTTTGGTCAGCATCCCAGCACTCCATTGCCAGAGCCAAAATCTGAATAACAAGTGTTCAGGAATGGCCAACTGTTTAGTGGCCTCTCAAGGTCAATGGAGAACAATGGAGGCTGTTTGTCTGGTGAACACCCGGTTCACACTCGGGCGAATTCAAATAGCTTCACTTTGAAAAAGAAAGAAATTTAAAGAGGGGAAAAATAAGCGTGATTTCAGTGTGGTGAACAGAATCCTTTTATTAGCTGATGAGTCACAGCATTGTGGGGATGATGCACTTTTTCTCCAGGCGCAGTCTCTGAAACACACCTTTCTTCGTGACCAGCTGCAATTTTTGTTTTACTTGGGTCAAACGTTCACTTTCATGATCTGTGAAAGGACAAGCTGCACTCACGCACGCACGCCCCGTTGCTGCATCACAGGCTGAACGCTGGCTTCACGGACCTCCCACGAGGCGTGGCCAAGTGTCGAAGCTTATATATGTTCCTCGTGAACGTTCGCTCCTGTGTTATACAGCTATGCGGCGCTACTGAATTGGTGTTTGTCCTTTTGAGTTTCATTGAGGAAAAAAAATACCATATGGACTTTGCATTGGGAGTTCGTTTAGGCGCTTTATAGGTTTTAGTCGTATTTAGGTTTAATCATGTTGAAAAATAATGGAAAGAAGACCGCAATCTCAGTAGCCTGCACAGCATGTCTCTGCCTGCTGCTGCTGCTCCTGGTTGCTGTGCAGCATCACCGGGTGCAGGTGAGCGAGGTGACGAGCGAACGGGACATCGGTACGCGCTCTCTGCTCCAAGATGCCACGCCGGGGGAAGGGGAGAGCGCACCGCCCGAGAGCGCACGGGATAAGAAAGGATTCTCGGCTTACTTCACCAAACTGACCCGGGGACGGAGGGAGGTGGAGAAGCCCGCACGCTCGTTCGCGGACCCCCCTCCAGCTGAGAACATCAGCGCGGATGACATCTTCATCGCAGTGAAGACCACCAAGAAGTTCCACCAGTCCCGGCTGAGTCTGCTTCTGGAGACATGGATCTCCAGAAACGTGCAACAGGTAAATGGGAAAAATGTAGCATGGAACATTCAGCTCGTTATCAAAACACTGCGCGTGCACAATCCGAAAAGTAAAGATTTCAGTGATTTACTTTGTAGATTATGTCATTGTTATTAAGCCCGCACTGCATAGTTGTAACAATAATCCAGTGTACGCATGCAGGTGATGATGATGTTTCATCGCTGTTCACGGTGCTTTATTGTTCCCCTTGTCACTAGATGACATACTGAAACGGCCACACTGTTCACCATGCTGAATTCCCTCTGCTCTGTCACTTTTTATTTCCCCCTGAGTGATGTCCCTGAGAACGGAGGGAGCAGTTTCAGAACTCCCTCTTCTCCCCTTTTCTCAACCCCCCTCTCTCCCCTCTCTCTATTATCCCCCCTCTTTTGAGGTGTCCCTGTGAATGTCCCCGGTGCAATGGATGCTTCACAGCCACCGACTCCAACGCTGTCCCCCTTCCAGGGCTAACAAAGCTTCTTTCTGAAGGGGGAAGAAAAGCTTTCCCAGCCCCTTGTCTCCCCTCTCTCCATGGGAACGTGGGAGCTGAGTCTGGGTCAAGCTTAGTGGAGGGATGGGAACGTGGGGGCTTCGTTTAGGGGATGCCTGGGACAAAAGGGTGCATCTATAGGCTTGCTTATGCTGGGAATGAGCACGCTGAGTATGAAAATGTCCTTGAAAACCAAGCTCCTTTAGAGGGTGCACAAAGACAAGGCTGAGGAAACGGTAGCTAGTCAAAGTGATTTTATCCTACACCTCACATGCGCTTTTGCAGAAGTCGTTGTAATTTGTTTCGGCTACAGTCACATAAAGGCTTTCTTTTTATTCCAAGCAGCAATAAAGTTGAAGGGGATCTGTTTGATGCCAGGGTTTCAAATAATAATAGACTGTCACAATCACTGTGTGAAAAGGAGTAATGATTAGATGGAGTAGATCAAACCATGATCTGCAACAGCTGCTTACATGCGAACAGCTTCTGCTAATTGTTTGCAATTACTGCAGTGGATGATGTTAGTTAACCCATTTAAAACAGAATTATCAGCAGGGCTGAGAGGCAGGCAGCTGGTAGGTGGCTGCATGGACAAAAAGGACAGACTGAGCACCACAATGCATGAAGGAGTTCCTGGAGAAGGGGTGCCAGGTGGTCAGGGGAGACAGCACAATGGAAGGCCTTAATGCCAGCCATATGATGTTCATGAGTTCCCACCATGTACATATGGTCATCCTCTGTGATCAGATTTGATTCTCACGCTCAGCTGATGGACATCTGTGGAGTTTGCATCAATGTTGGAGTATCAGACACAAGGGACAAAAAGTATTATTTCTGTATAAGCAAGTATGTTTCTGCAGGCTTTTACACTTGCTTGCTTCTCACATCTGCTCAGTATGTGATCTGGTGGTGTTTCTGTGAGAACAGGGAAGGTAGATTATCTCTGTGATAGGTTTGTTGACACAATAGTGCTTGTGGCCTTCTTAATCTTTGAGCGCATACATAGCATAAATAACACTTTTGTAAATCCAGCTTGTTTGGGTCTTTATGCACATTGTTAATAAATGCTTTTGGAAAAAAAACATTCAGTAGCTGGGACTTTACGTTTAAAGTTTAATTCCTAACCATCCTCTTTACTTTCTCTCTTTCCAGAGTTCATTTGGAAATCTGGCACATATGAGCGTTTTTTTTTTCCTCCAGTGTGCAAAATTATTTCAAGTGTCTGGACAGCTGGCACTGACATCTTCACGGTGGTGTGCCATGCATTCCTCTCTTAAGAGTCTGATAATTAGCCAGCCGTCCAACAATGAGATCTTTTAGCATTTAGGAAAAAAAAAACCCCACTTGGAGCTGCAGTTCAGTTATTCAAATGGCTTCAGTGTAAAGAAATAAAATACAAGCGGTCAGAAAGTGGGTGGATGTCATTAAGGAGGAAATCCTGCTGTTAATCTGCAACTTCTGATTTGGAAATCAACAAATGCATGTGTTTTATGCCATCAACTTATCTTTTACTGCATCCCTGATGAAACAATTCTAATCCTGTGTGATGTCTGCCAAATTATTAGTCTGCACAAAAAGTGCTGAAATGCTTTGAAAAGCTGGGACAAAAAGGGGAAGGAATCGGGGTGGAGGTGGATGATGGAAAAGAAGGGAGCCCAGTGCCCTTCCTTCCTGTGGAGCTGGAGGCAGCCAGCCAGGCACCACGTTCAGCTCAGACAGGGCCGTGCCAGACCTTCCTGTGATCAGGAGCGCAGCACCGCTCTTCTCCTCACCTCTTGCCCTCTCGCCTCTTATCTCTGCTCCACACAGGACCATCTCTTTTCTCTCTCGTGCATTCTTTTTGTTTGAATTAGTATTCCATGAAAGTAGCTCTTTTAAGTTTTCAGTGAAGGAACAATGACTAAGGAAAAAACTTCACTGGGAGATTTCTCTTTAGTTAACTCCTGCAGCTGTATGCAAATGCTGGCAAGCGTTTACCCAGTGGAGACTTTACCCAGCATGAAAACTCACAGCATTGTTCTATTCAAGAGGCTCTGGCTGTGTGTGGGGGGGAGATGACGGGGTGAAAAGGAGGTGACTGGCCACACACGGTTTTTGATTTACTAATCAGCAGTGAGAATCCCACCACCGCTCCTCCATCCACCCTCCTCCTCTTTCTGTCAGTAGCCAGGCAGCTCTGGCAGCTGCCTCAGTGATTAGGCTGTCTATTGAACGAGCTTTAAAGCAAACAGCGCCAGCCTCTGATCCCTTCACCAGCGAAACCACCACTGTTCCCTAAACAAATACAGGCTCATGGCTTTAGCGTTGAGCAACATCTGCTCAGAATTTGTTCCACAAACTGCTTGAGCAGCCTCGCTTTGTGTTGGGGGGAAAAACAAAAACTAAACTGGAGCAACCGATGTTTCATTTAATTCAAGTAAAGTCAGCGGCCTGCTTATAGATGCACATCACAGATTGCAGTTGCTCAGCAGCAGGGCGATGGTGGTGAACGTGCAGGCATTAGAGCTCTATCTGTTAGTGAGGGTTAAGGGAGCATGACCTGGCATGTAGAGACACGTGGCGTAGATAGGATAGCGTGGTGTTCGGCAGGTGCTGCCTCACCTGAGGTGAAGAGTAAACAGACTACTGGCGGTTACAAAGCCTGGGGCCGGCCGCCTTTTCATCACCGCTATTCAGCAGCTCGCACCTGCTCTGTGTGAGTTGTCATAAAGAGAAGTCTAATCTCTTCCCGCTTCTTTTAAGTGTGTTCCTGTAAGGTGCCCTTTGTTCTTTACTCCTTTTATGACTAATTGCTACATTTAACAAGTGCCTGCAGTCTGGTGGTTTTAATTCTTCTAACGTTTTTGAATCTGTCAGTCACACAGATGCGAAGACAAAGAGACAGACATTTTTTTCCATGCTGCTGTTTTTATCAGCATTAATCATTTTGAAGCTCGGCAGCAGGTCCAGCAGAGCGACGAGGCTCAGCCACGGGATGTGATACATGAACGGGGTGTGTGTGTGGGAGGCGGACAGTCTGCCTCCTCCTTTGTTGTTTGTCTGGGATGCTTCGGGGCGGCTGCATAGTTGCCATGGTGAGAGTAAAATGCAGGACAAAAGGCCTTTATTAGAGCAGGAGGCTGTTTAACTCAATGCGTTTTCCACTGCATAAAAGCAATGCTGATTGATGCTAATCACACCAGCTGGATGTGACGGAGAGAGACTTTGAACACACTGTTGAATAAGACCGTGTGGCCACTTCACATGATCAGCCAGAGTAGCTATAATTTTGTGGTTCTGAAGGCCAAGTCTCCTTATCTGTGACTTCCCTTGTTTGTTTACAGACGTACATCTTCACAGATGGAGAAGATGATGAGCTGAAGAAGAAAATTGGTAAGTTTTATGAGGGAGCTTTCAAGTTGCCAACAAAGATCATTTTGTTTGAGAAAGGCACCATCAATGAGAAACCGAATCCCATTTTAAATGCCATAAAAATTTTGCTCTGAGCTTTTTGCCTCTGTGAAAGATGACTTTGAAATACACAGATGCTTCTTTGATGATGCCATGCCTTATGTTTTAAGCCATAACTCTGTCTCTTTCATGACCGCCACAGGGAGTCATGCAATTAACACCAACTGCTCTGCGGCACACAGCCGACAAGCTCTGTCTTGCAAGATGGCGGTGGAATATGACAAGTTCATCGAGTCGGGGAAAAAGTAAGCATCACTTTAGAAAACGCTCACTTGTGCATTAGCCGAGAATGGCTTTGATCTAATAACTATTCTGTTTTGCAGGTGGTTCTGTCACGTAGATGATGACAATTACGTGAATGTTCGGGCCCTGGTGAAGCACCTGTCCCAGTACCCCCACACCCAGGACATGTACCTCGGCAAACCCAGTCTGGACCGGCCAATAGAGGCCACAGAGAGGCTGGGCGACAATAAGATGGTATGCTGAAGATTGTTGTTGATATCGCAGTATATATTTTAATGGTGACTCGCCAGATGGTAGCATTAATAACCTTTTCGTTCTCCTTTTATAGAAACCAGTGAATTTCTGGTTTGCAACAGGAGGAGCAGGTTTCTGTGTGAGTCGGGGTCTGGCGCTGAAGATGAGCCCATGGGCCAGGTAAGATATTTGTAATTATGCTGCACTAAGATTGCATTTGCCTTGTAGTGAACACATAAACTACAAAAAACCCCAAACGTCCTCAATAGTCGATCCAATGGATTACTACATTTGGAATAGTAAATTTCTAAGCTAAAGCCCAATAAAAATAAAGGCAAGAAGTAGTGCCCCAAATCCCCACCCACATCACAATGCCAACCTTGGGCGTGTCTTTACTTGGATCTGTAACCAGCTTGCAACACCCAGAGACTCTAGAACTGCCATTATAAGAAAGTAGGTGCAAGGCTTTAGGTGTTTCAGAGGCATGTTACAATTTCAAAGTGACTTCCTGTCAGTAGAAAGGATTCGTACAGTAGAGCAGAGTACACTGGCACTGACCAGGTGACTTCTTATTTTTTAGTGGCGGTCACTTCATGAACACAGCCGAGAAGATCCGTCTTCCGGACGACTGCACCATCGGCTACATCATCGAGTCGGTTCTGGGGGTCCCCCTGACCCGCAGCAACCTGTTCCACTCCCACCTGGAAAACCTGCAACAGGTGTCCAGATCTGAGATTCACAAGCAGGTGAGAGGCTTATAGGACATTCTGCATCCTCGAGAAAAGGGCAAATCCGAGTGAATGTGGTGTTCACGTTTTTGCTCTTTTTTTCAGATCACTCTAAGTTATGGGATGTTTGAAAACAAGAGCAATATCATCAATTTGAAAGGAGCGTTTCCAGTAGAGGAGGATCCATCAAGGTGAGGGGCTGTTTTACTTAATTATAAGACGTATTAATTTAAGCACATTTTCAACATAGATCTAAGTCTTTTTCTTGTCTTCCAGGTTCAAGTCTGTGCACTGTCTCCTGTACCCAGACACCCCGTGGTGTCCTCTCCAGGTTCCCTATTAGGGCGACCGCTCCTTTCTCATCCTCGTCTCCGTCTTGCCTCGGTATCTGAAAGGCTCGTGGAGACCAGTGTTTGGTATTAGACCATGTGGCTGCTGTATTCTTGCTGCAGTGGTGCATGGTTTTTAATAGTTTTACTGGGCTGCTGTGCGGCCCGCCTCGGGACTCTTCCTTCCTCTCTGGAGCCAGAGCCTCATCCCGTATTATGGGGTACGGTCGGAGGACTTCAGCTCTGCAGGAAGTAGCTTTCATCGTTAAGCTTTGCAGGCAATCAGTTGAGCTTTGTGATGTACATGTTGCTTGTAAATGTATCTGCTATTCTCATAGAATGTATTGTCTTATATTTGAGCCTTTTGCCAGCTTTACATTAACACTTTTTTTTTTGCTTTTTAAAATGCAGAGCCCTTCAAGTCTATGTTTGTAGGCTTTGGGCTTTTTTCTCATTTAATTGGCTTTTTTGGGTATTTCTTTTGTATCAGATGACTCCGGACATTTGCTCTAATATGAAGATGTTGTTGTGCTTTTAAGTTAACAGTGTTATATTCCCCATAACCTGAGCTGGCAGTTGGCAGATTTTCAAATGCATCCTTTGGCGATCCAATCTGATGTGTATCAGGACAAAGCACTTTTCCCTTCCTCATAGTTTTGTTTTTATTTCACGAACTTACCTAGTTTACATCCTCTAATGATATACTTCAGATTTGTCCCAAACTAACAAAAACCCCCAAAAATAACCCCTCAAAATCTCAACATTTGCTCCTTTTGATGTATTTAATAACACTCCTTGCATTAGTTACAATCAAGGAAAAGTAATGAGTGGTAGAGATTTTGCTTTGGGGTTATAGTCACCTTTGCTTTGCTTTGACAAGTCTTTTTTTTTTTTTTTTTTTTTAATATTGCACAGCTGTGTTTCAAATGGGCTGATGTTTGCTCCTCACCTCTGAAAGGTACAACAGAGAAGAATTACTGTCTTTTTAGTTTGGATGATTCCCATTCAAAGAAGAAAAGCAAGAGCAGTTTGAATCAGTAGCACAGAAAAGGAGAACCAGATGGGTAAACTGAGCCGCAGTCTATAATAGTTTGCACAAAAGACTGTTGAGCCTCTGTGTTGTTGTCAATATGAATGTTCCTTATTTACACATAACATCAGCTGGTTACTGTTGAGGCCTGCGAGGTGAAAGCGACATCAGCGTTTCCTCATGGAGGTGTCTGTGTTCCCTCTGTGTCATTTCTCACCCATATTGGGTTACGCTATACATCTTGATTACAGTATTGTGTACTGTGCCTTTGTTTAAATTAGTAGGGATTGTCTATGCTTAGAATGTAATTTCCCCCTTTGTGGTTTACATACACTTAATGACCTGTATTTTTTTTTTTTTTTTTTTTTTTGTGGGACTGCTTTAAACTGTGCTAAATGACTGTGGTGTTTTATTCTCCAGTATCTGGAGGGTTTGACCAGTTCATTCCCAATAACTGGCTCCTCAGGGATTATGAGCTGATCCTGGTATTAACTACCATGGGACCCACGGTGGGACCTAAAACTCTGAATAAAAATGTATAACCACTGAGAAACTTTCCATTTTTTGGTAATGTTTTTATTTGACTGTCTTGCAAGCTTAAGATGTTACACTTAATGCTCACATTAATCCTATTTGTAGTACTTGGTCCTTTATGGACACTTGAATTTAAATCACACATTAAATCTTGTAACAAAACTGTCACTCGTGAACTCTGGACAACACTGAGAGATTCAAGGTTTTTTTTCCACACTTGTCCTTTCTCGGGAGTAACAGACCACAAAAGACAGCCTGTTTCAGATGACATATCAGTACAGGAAATAGTTTGATTTAGGTGTGGAAGCGGCCTTAGTAGAATCTGCAAGACACAGGATGATGATGATTTTCACGTTGCTGCATTTAGATATCAGACTTTGTACAAACAGCCTGGCAGGTTAAAGACCTGTGACTATGCTAAAGACTGGTCTATATGAGTATTTCAGTTTTACTTTATAGCTGAGGCTTATTTTTAATTCCTCTGTGTGGATTTGATAGCTGTAGTACACATGACTTTACAATGAAAGAAAATGACCCTTTCAGCATGAATTGTAGTGGTTGTGCTCATGATACACATCCCCTCTACATTCAGAGATGGCTTTTCATAATCCAATATTCAACAGATATTACTATGATGAAAGAAGCAGCCGGAGGCCCGGGTGTTCTCAGCCCTCCCTGCACTTATCCGTGCTGTTATAGGGTAAGAGGAAGGGTACTTCTTAGACTGGCTGCCATACATAAAGACAACCATTGGCATCTACAAACAATTTAGATCCCCCAACTAACCTAAAACCACATGTTCTTAGACTGTGGGAAGACGCCAGAGTACCAAGTGAGAATCTACACAGGCATGAGGAGAATGTGCAAACTAGACACAGGAGCGTCCCGCGCACTAAATGAAACACAAATAACAGCTAAAATAAAACAAAACTAACACTAAACTCTATAAATCCAAGAATAACCAATGCGCAGTCATTCCAGTTATCACAGGAATGATAATGAACATCAAAACAGGAATCAGAGCCTAACCATCATCAAATCTAAGAACAACAAGACCAAACAGAAACCACGTAATTAAAGCACTCATAGAATGATTTTCTATTCCATTTGAACACTCACACAAACCTCATTCACACACTCTGATGGATTCATCATGGGCAACTTAGGGTTCAGTGTTTTGCCCAAGGATACTTTGATACGCAGACTAGAAGTGTCAGATATTAAACCGCTGACCTTTTAACAAGCCACTCCACCTTCTGTGCTACAGCCACCCTGGTTAATATTAAAAAAAAGAGTCCAAAGAAATTTAAAACCGCACACACAACAAATTCTTGATTGTTGTGCCAGTTTAAATGTTTATTTATCAGTGGAGGTGGCTGTTAGATTCACTGTTAGATTGACAGGTAGACCAGAAGAGTTGTCATTTAAGGGAAATGATATGTTTTTGTGTGCTGCTATAACAAGATGTGATAGATTAAATGTACAGGAGTGGACTTTTTCATGCTGGGCTCAAAATAAAAAATTACTGGTGGGTCACACTTTCCGCCCTATATTTAATAATGTTTTTATGTATCAACAATATCAGCTTTGTCTGTAATGGACTCTTTTTACACTGAAGTGTTGCTATTTTTATCTAGTTTTTATTTTCCACCACTTGTTATGACGGACGGCAATTCAGTGTCTTCCCACAAGGGATTTAACATGTCAAAGGAACAAAAAGCCCCCCAAATTACTACTAACACGGGAACTTTTTAAAGAAGGCAGAAATCTGCCACACTTTATTTTCTGCACTGTGAAGAATGAAATATTAATTAAAACAACTTTTCTTTTTTCTTTTTTTTATCCTAAAATAAATAGTTTACTTGAAACGAAGCACATCCCGGCTGAACTCTGGGAGACACTGAACTGAAGATCCATCACCAAAGCCTTGCATGGGAGACAAATCACTCACAGCAAACATCCTCACCACAAACCATAATCACAGCTTTGTCTTCCATGGATGTATAGTGGGAAAAGCTTGAGTCTTTCATGTGTCTAAAGCTCATGTTCAAACACAGCAAGAGCCCTCTGCAACCTAAATTTCCCCGCTTCTCTTCTGTTTTAACTCACAAAACATTTCCAATTAATCTGCACACGGGTTTCACACATATAACTAAAGTGAGCAATAGAGGCACTTTGATTCGTAGACATTTATTCTGCTTCTTCGTCTTGCTAAGAGGAAGAGAAAGATCTGTTCCCTGGCACTGCACCCATGGGAAAAAGACAATGTGGCTTAAGTGCAAAACTCTTGTATTATTAAACTGTGAATGTGCAAACAGTAATTGGATCAGCAGCAGTTTGATCTTTTCCTGCAAGAGGGAAAGGTTTTTATATAAACAACAAATCATTAGAATCTCGGTCTAATCTGTCTTTAATCTTTTTAACCTTGGAGGAAAACTCAGAGTCGGTTGCAGTTTTACAGAGTTTTCCCAGTTGTAAATCATTAAAAGTACAAGTCAATAAAAAAAGAAGTTTGGATGCTTTTACAAATTTGCCAAGAGAGGATTGGAAAACACCAATTCCTGGAGGTTACGTGTAATTCAGATCTCTGAGCAACTCTGAAACAATTATCACTGTTACATATTTTTCTTTTGGTGGTTTTCCAATATTTGCCTTCCTTGCTATTCTAATTATATCCGTTACCAGCTAGCAAATGCAGGATAACACAGCCAGGCTGAGGCTTTAAGTGTATGCTATTAGCATTTCAATTTCCACCCAGAGCTTAGGCCAAGTCTTCACCCTCACACAGGGAGACTGATTGAACAGAGCTTTGTTAAAGAAGAGAGCGTGTTGGACACAAAATGTAGCAGCAATCAGACTCTTAGAAACTCTTTCTTTCATTCTTTCTCCCTGTCCTATCCCCCAGTCATGTCTGTCCCGTTTGTAGCAACTGAAAATAAAATAAATTCATAATTATAATAAAGGTCAATCAAATGGACCAATATGGCAAGGCCATGATGATCCACTTGGTAAAATAAATCCGCTTGGCATCTTTCTTGGCCTTAAGACAACAATTCTGATGGCTAAAGATCCAAACGGGACACAAAAAAAAGAAAAAAAAGAGAAAAAAAAAAGAAAAAAGAAACTGCAATATTTAACAGCTATAAATACTTTTGTTTTTGCAAAACATGAAAAGAGTGTGCTTACTACCTGAGTAATTAGTCCAGTAAAAACTGAATCAGGTACTTTGCATGTCACTGAAAGGCTCGTAGGAAATGTTGATGGAAAGTTTAGAATGACTGGTTGAAAGAGGTGGAATGATTTCAAGTGTTTTGCATATGTATGATGCGGTGACAGGTGAACGATTTCACCTGTCACCGCAAACAGGCACCTCAGGCGGAGCACCTGCCCGTCGGTGAACCGTGGTGAAATGTTACCCGGGGGCTGTTTCTCTGGGTTTGTTCACTAATAAAGAATCCAGTATCCAAAATGTCTGTTGCGTTCTGTTGACAAAACATAAAAAAGCCAACATGACTTGTGTTTGTCTCAGTTTGAGTCATGGTTTAGGAGAAATGCAGCTTCTCTGCCCACCCACATGTTTTCACCGAGGGGGAGAAACTGAATATAAAAACACGGAGAGTCTTGTCTGTCACCCATGTAATGACCCAACAGACTGAGAGCGGTTTTAAGTGTTTTATGACTACTGGGAAAGCTTTTCACTCAGTTCAAAATGATAAAGAACTAGTCCACCTGGTATTTAGATGGCCATCCACAGTGTTTACCCTACCCTACCAGGTATGGAGCCAGGGTCAGAACCTCAGTATGAAGTGAAATGCTAAATGTCAAACACTCAACCGCAAAGAGCCTAAACAATTAAAGTAATGCAAAATCATCACAGGAGAAAAAATAAACAGACATTAAATTACTGACAACCCACAAAAAGTCACACAAAACACACAGATCAACACAAAGAGGCAAAACCCCAACCACAACGACACACATTGGAACCACACAATGATCGAAACTGTGACCATGAAGACTTTCAAAACCACCACAGAGACAATAACAACAGCGACAAAGCAAGAATCGAGACAAGCTGACGCAAAACAACCAGAAAGACTTAAAAAGAAGCCGCAAAGAGAAATATAACAAAATTCAAAATGACTTAAGAGACACAAAATATCTAAAATAGGAATAAAAGAAATGTAAAGTTAGCTAAAGCCTGGGGATCTTTCTACTCTTTGTCATTGTGCGACAGCATTGATAGTTTATTTAATTAAGGTTTGTTTAATACACATTAGTATTTAGATTCGGTTTTTGATGAAGAGATGTCAGTATCTTTCAGATCTAAAAGTGTCACAGGTCTGGAATGACGGAAACACTTGAATTAGCCTGTTAACAGTCTGTTTAAAACACAAACACCCCCGTGTGTTTTTTTACACCTCCAATCAGTGTTTTGAGAGGAAAATGTGAAATTTCACAACTCTGCAAAGGTGCTCCCCTCCTCGTGTTTCACTCATTAACAACACTGTAACTGTCAGTAGAATGGAAAACCCCTTGTGTGTGTGTATGGAAAAGGGGTGCTGGGAGTAGATCTGGTGAGGTATGGATGCTTGCCACAGAGGGACATTCCTCAGAGTGTAGAGGATTACAGCGACGCAGGCCACTCGCACATTGTCTTCGTGACTCTCCTCTGCTATATCAGTCAGTCTCCAATTAACAGCCTGCATTGTCTGCAGGATTAGGAGCGGCGGGACAGGGCCCGCGGAGAGATCTCACAACAACTGGCACAGAACTTAATCCTGCTCTGCATGTGCTCTATAGGCCATCCTAAATTGGGAGTTTACCATAATCCAGGTATCACATATCCTGGCAATGGAACGACTTGAACTTACTAAGCAGCACTCGAGTGGAGGGCTTGAGGAATGTTGAGGAAAACCAGCTTGTAGAGAAATCTTATCTCAGCTCTCATGTTTAAAAAAGTCACATAATCGTCCTGATTGATTTCCAACAGAAATCTTGTTTAATTTAAGCATTGAC